AGAGGGGGGAAATCGAAGAAGAAATGAGGCAGAGAACATTAGGGGACTAGATTCGAACCAAAAGGAGAGGGAAAAAGCAGGAAAAAAACAACAACCCATAGAGATTCATTCGAACAAAAAATGAAAAATAGAGAAAAAAAGTTTACCTTCAGCAAGACCCGACCATCATAGCTTCACTAGAGCAAAATACCCCACCATCGTCGGTAAATTTCTTATCCTAGTTTGGGGTTTTGTTTTTTAGTTTTGGAGAATAGAATGGCTTAAAGGGTAAGACTTCAGGAAGGGAACATAGAGAGAGAAAGAGATAAGATATGGTTCAGTTTGTTTGCATTCACCACCGATTTACGGCGGTCGTGGCTTCTTTCTCTCTTCACGGCGGAGGAAAACTGAAAAGGGGGAGAGAGTTATCTCCTTTTAGGGTTAAAAAAACAAAAAAATGAGAGTGGTGAGGAGAGTGACCAATTTTGGCCTATGTCTTGATCATATATTGGGTGTGTGAAGCAACATCGTTTTACCAAGGGGAGGGGCAGCGTGTTTTAGCGCATATGCTAATTTCTGTTTAGGTTCCTCCTCGTTTGTAATATTTTGTTTTAGCTATTAATAAAACTTTGTGATATTTTACTTCGAGCACTTATCTTTCAATGTTTTCATTTAAGCCATTATCCTACATATTATGCTATTTGCGTTGATATTGGACTCTGGTTATGATATTTGTAAATCTTTCATTTCAGTCATTGCTTTGCACATTGTTGCTTTTAGGTATAATTCTAATTTACCCTTACTAATTTCTGGTTTATTTTATTTTGGTCCTATATGTTTCTTTAGGATTTATTTATGTTTTAGTACTCATGTTATATGATGTTTACACATTAGCTATGATTTTATATATGTTTATTATTATGCCTCTAAAGTTACTGTTCTTGCTATTTAGTCCTTATTTACTAGGTATGATTAGATTCTTTTATTGATATTTTAATTTATCATGTTTGTATATATGTATTTTGGTCCAAATTTGTAACTTTGTTTTATTGCCAATTAAAATTTTATGGTGTATGCATGCATGTATGCATGCATGTATGTATGTATGTATGTATGTATGTATGTATGTATGTATGTATGTATGTATGTATGTATGTATGTATGTATGTATGTATGTATGTATGTATGTATGTATGTATGTATGTATGTATGTATGTATGTATGTATGTATGTATGTATGTATGTATGTATGTATATATGTATGTATGTATGTATGTATGTATGTATGTATGTATGTATGTATGTATGTATGTATGTATGTATGTATGTATGTATGTATGCATGTATGCATGTATGCATGTATGTATGCATGTATCCATGAATGCATGCATGCATGCATGCATGCATGTATCCATGAATGCATGCATGCATGCATGCATGCATGTATGCATGTATGCATGCATGTATGCATGTATGCATGCATGCATGTATGCATGTATGTATGCATGCATGTATGCATGCATGTATGTATGCATGTATCCATGAATGCATGCATGCATGCATGCATGCATGTATGCATGCATGTATGCATGCATGCATGCATGTATGCATGTATGCATGTATGCATGCATGCATGTATGCATGCATGCATGTATGCATGCATGCATGTATGCATGTATGCATGTATGCATGTATGCATGTATGCATGTATGCATGTATGCATGTATGCATGTATGCATGTATGCATGTATGCATGTATGCATGTATGTATGTATGTATGTATAAATTATGTAATTGTTGTAAGTCTTCATTGTATGTTTTTTTATTTCTATGTGTTCTATTATGCACATATTTATTTATATGTTTCAATTTATATTTTTATTATTATAGTTCCTTTACATATTTAAATATGTATTTATTTTTATCTATTAATTTTTACTCCTTTATGTATTATCACTCTATTGTTTTTCAAGAACGTTATTTGTAGAATGGGATTAGAAAGCATCACTTGATCGAAGTGGTGTAATCCGATACGACATTCGAACAGAATATGAACTTGAAATTACGAGCACTTTTATATATTTATTAAAAATAATAATTTTTATTTATTTTCACATTTATTATTTTATTTTTATGTTGTCTTAGTTAATGTTAGCATTAATAATTTATGTTTTCTAAAAATACATCCTAATTTATTTCATGCAACAAATTTTGATAATAATTCAATGTTTTAAATAATTCACAGATATAATCTTCTTTTACGGATGAGAAATAGTTGAGATAACTTTCCCGACGCAGGATTAAGAATTTCGAGATTTCTTATTAAGTCAAAGAATTTTCTTTAAATAATTAATTCAAAGCATATTAATTAAACTTTAATAAATGGATCATACTTTAAATATCGATTCGAATTTTATTTTCCATCATTACAACAATGTGTAAGCAATTAAGTACTAATTTTTTGGCGCGGTTGGGTGCTTATCTTTCCCTACGCGTAATCGACTCCCGGACCCATTAAATTGAATCTTTGAAAACGCATACCGATTTTTGTCTAAAAAATTATTTTTTTAAAAAAAATTGTTTTAAAAGGCGTTTTTTAAGTATTCGGCCTACCTAACCTAAAGGTCGATTGTGACTCTCATCCTAATTAATTCAAAATCACCAATTTTTCAAAATAAAATCATAATTATTTTTTAAACTTAATTATTTTCCTAAAAAATGGTCATGACAGTTTGCTTTTGAAGTCAAGATATTTTTATTTAAATAAAAATGAAATTAAATAATCAAGTGATTTTAATGGTTAAAGAGTTGTTATGATATCTTTAATTTTTAAGTTTGAACACAACGTCATAGATAAAACAAAAGTAATAATTTAGTTACTAAACATGTAGTTTACTTATATGAATATTTAATTTTTACTAATTTAAAAATTAGTATAAAAACATTTTTTAAATATTTTAAAATTTATTTTGTAGAGCAAAACAAACTTTAAGTCCGAGCTAAACTCTACTAGAACCTTAATAATAAATATGTGCTAAGATTTAATTTATGGACACTTTCAATTTTATTTTATATCCGAACCAATATATTTTATTTTATTTCTTATTTGATGATAGATTTAAAATTATACATTTAAACAAAAAAATAAAATGCGAAAATATACCAACAATCAGTTAGTCTAGTGAGATAAGACACTCGATTTCTTAAGCAATATCAATGATTCAAATCTCGACGCTTGTGAATAGTACAAACTGGGTTGAGAGGATTGCCTCATAATGAATTTTTACAAAATCTGATAAGAACTAATCGATTAGATTAAATATTGATGATTAATTAAAAAAGAAATATATAAAATTAATAAATAAAATATTGTTATTGTTAACTTAAATGGTCCTGTAGTTTCCTATAAAGTCTTGTGTTAAGTAGTGAATTAAGAATTTAATATAGGTAGCTAGTTGCCTACTTTGTTGCATGAGATTGTTGTCAAGCACCTAGAGCTTGGTTTAGGTGACTATATATATATATATATATATATATATATCCCGTTTGTTAAAAACAAATTACAATCCTATTCATTTGATGAAGAAATAAATTATAAAAAATTAAATTTTATTTTATCTGATTAAGATTATATATATATATATATAGTTCTAAGATTTGAGATAATCTTGTATAATCCTCTTGTTATTGTATACCGACTATAGTGAAATTATTTTATACGTTCTTTTTACATAAATATGCATATTATTTTACTATTTTACTGTCATTTATTAATAGTTATTAATTTATCAAGGATGAGATAATTGAAGTTATAGCTCGAAGTAGATTGTATAATCTACGTTTAATTTGAACTTTTATTATTTAAAGAAGTTTTATATTTAATTATTATAAATATATCGTAAATAAAACTCGAGTAGGTTTATTCGAGAATTTACTATTTAAATTATCTAAATTGTTGTATCGAGGGTTATATCAAAATATAAAGGATTAAATATCAAAATTGTACGTAAAATTACATTAAATCTATAATATTATAAAAGAACTTTGGTTTTATTTAATTATGTACATAAAATTTAAATTTTAGTTTAGTCAAAATTGTACGTAAAATTACATTAAATCTATAATATCATATATGAACTTTGGTTTTATTTAATTATGTACATAAAATTTAAATTTTAGTTTAGTTATTTATATAAAATTTTAATTTAGATTTGATAGTACACACTTTCAAAAATAAATACATGGATTTTATTTGTGTATTGAATCAATATTATTATTTACGTATACAATATATACACATAAAATGATACTATATTGATGACTACTTTAGTAATTTGCAAAAATTGAATCGAATCAAAATTTTAAATATGAAATTAAAATGTGTATATCATATTACATATTTAATGAAAGTTCATGTGTAGTTTTAATATTTATCTCAAAATTTATTTGAATAACATAATCTCTCATTGGGAGCACAACATGTCTTATCACTACGAAGAGAAGGGGTCGAAGTTCTTATTCATGATATATATTTACTCAAAAATTGTAATATATAACAGAGTAAATTACAAATTTACTCACTAAATTTTGTTCTATTTCATATTTCACTTATTATACTTTTAAATTTTCAATTTACTCACTATACTTTCAAATTATTCTTATTTTGGTCACTACAAAATATTTTATTATTATTTTGGTACGGCATGATATTTGTAATTTAAAGTTTAGTGAAATAGGAGAGAAGTAAAGTTAAGTGAGTAAATTTGTAATTTACCCTATATAAAAACTTAATTTAGGATCTTTAGTTTTAAGGTTTATTTTAGCATCTGATTTTAATTTCATTTTACTTAAATTTGAATTTCTAGTACTTAATATTCTATTAATTTGAATAAATAACTCAAGTTTATGTACTAATTTGAACACGAAATTAAGTTCAGGTACCTAATTAGATAAAAGAAACTATAAGTACCAATTTGAATATTAAAGCGTGTTAACATGTATATTTATCCTGAAATAATCTCTTAATCAGGATAGAATAAGAAAACATAGTGAAAGGGAAGCTGAAATTATCGACAGCCAAAGGAAATCACAGACAGCATCGGCAGCAAAGCAACGACAGAGGAAGAAGCATGAGCAGCAATCAAGGGAAGCTAAAACCATCAAGCTCCGAATTGGATTTGGATCGACCGAATATCGAAGATTATCTCCCTTCTGGAGTCTCCATTCATGAACCCCACGGCGAGCTTCGCCTGTAATTTCCACTTCCCCTCGTTTTCCCTCCATTTTATCTTAAGAATCTGTTAATTATTTGATTGATTAGCTGATTATGATTTTATTGAACGTGACTTCAGAAGCGATTTGCTTGACATTTCTCCCATCTTAACTGAAGCAGCTGGTGCCATTGTTGATGTAATCTCTCTCTCTCTCTCTCTCTCTCTCTCTCTATATATATATATATATCCCTAATTCCTTGTAACAAATCTGCATGTTTTTATGGAAAGAAAGCAAATTCAAATACTTTGATGGATTTATTTATATGGGTTTATATGATTGTTTTCTAAAGTTTTGATCTTGAGAAGATTGGTAGGCTTTTTACTTTTCAAGATTTAGCTGATTATAGCCGTGTTGTCAACGAGCAGGATTCATTCACGCGGTGTTTTAAGTCGAATCCTCCCGAACCGTGGAACTGGAATGTGTATTTGTTTCCTCTCTGGTGTTTCGGCGTGGTAGTTCGGTACTTGATTTTGTTCCCTGCAAGGTTGGCCTTTCTTCTTCTTGAAAGTAACATGGAATTGTTTAATGCATGATGGTGTTTGTTTAAATGAAGTTTGCTTGTCATGGTCTTAGTGTATCATATGTTGAAATGCTTGGGGTTTATCTGAGTTTTCTGTTGTGCTGTTTGATCCGCAGGGCTATAGTTTTGACAATAGGATGGATAATATTTCTGTCATGCTTCATTCCTGTTCACTTTCTTCTCAAAGGGAACGATGCCTTGCGGAAAAAGTTGGAGGTTTAAACTTTTAAGCATTTCTACTTCGTGCAGCTTTTATTTCTCAGTTTGTCTCTAGGTGTATGTGTATGTATGCATGTGTGGCGATGATCGAAGAAAAGGTTTGAAGTTCTAAAATGGAAATTTTTGTCATTCTCTCTTTGGGGATTTCCTATACATTTCTAGCAAACTAGTTACTCACCAGTTTGCTACTCACCTTTATTCTAGTACATTTTCAATTGAAATGATTATGCTTAAACTTAGTTTCTCATATTTGCTTTTCAGAGGGTTTTGGTGGAGCTAATCTGCAGCTTCTTTGTTGCTTCCTGGACTGGAGTTGTTAAGTACCATGGACCACGGCCTAGCATGCGGCCCAAACAGGTTTAGCTCACTTTTCTTTCTGCCCTTTATATCACTATGATTTTGGTTATCGATTTAATTTCATAAAGGTTTTGTCTGGTTCTTTAGTACTCCTTTGATGCTGCCTCTCTGCTAATTAAAATATATCTGAGCTTTCTTCCATGGGTTGAACAGGTGTTTGTGGCCAATCATACTTCTATGATCGATTTCATCATATTAGAACAGATGACTGCATTTGCTGTCATTATGCAGAAGCACCCTGGATGGGTTGGTAAGTAGTAGTGCGAAGCGAACATACGTACTTAAGAATGATGCATACATATTTTAATGTTATGCGGGATTTTTAACTAGCTGATTACTTCTATAGCATATAGATTATTAATGTTATAGGGAGTACTAATTATCTGATTACTTCTTTTGTGTATAAATATTAATGTTGTAGGGAGTATTAATGAGCTGACTATTTCTGTTGCATATAGATTTTTTAATGTTATGCGAGATTATTCTTTATCCGATTACTTCTGCATATTGTAAAATATATACATACTTCTGTGTTATGCAAAACTTCTCCCTTTTCTGTTGTTTTGTTTGATTCGAGCTTCAAGATTTCCTACTTATATCTTAATAGATCTCTACTATTATTTCTACATGTAGGACTGCTACAGAGCACTATTTTAGAGAGTGTAGGGTGTATTTGGTTTAACCGTTCAGAGGCCAAAGATCGTGAAATTGTAGCAAAGAAGTAAGTACAATCAAGAGTAAGGAACATGTATATATCAATATTATTTCTGTCTCATGGTTGTATAAACTTCTGAATTTCAGGTTAAGGGATCATAGCCAGGGGGCTGACAATAACCCTCTTCTCATATTTCCCGAAGGGACGTGTGTAAACAATCAATACAGCGTTATGTTCAAAAAGGTATAAAATTTGGGGAGAACGGCTTAAGTTGTTCCTTTCTCATGCGTCCTATGTCCGTTGACATCTTGGTTTCTCTGATGATGTTTTAGGGTGCATTCGAACTTGGTTGCACAGTTTGCCCGATTGCAATAAAGTACAATAAAATTTTTGTTGATGCCTTTTGGAATAGCCGGAAGTAAGGAATTGATCCCCCGAGTCTTCAACTGTCCCAACACAAATATATAATGTCTTCTATATTTTGTGATACCTGTTAAGTCTTACCAATATTCCACTTCCCACAGGCAGTCCTTCACAATGCATTTGTTGCAGCTTATGACATCCTGGGCTGTTGTTTGCGATGTTTGGTACCTTGAGCCCCAAAATCTAAGGCCTGGAGAAACGCCCATCGAGTTTGCGGAGAGGTTAGTCCTATTCTTTACTAGCGGAAATCAGTCGTTGAGGTCACCTATTAATACGTTTCAAGCCTTTCCTAGAGAAGCAATACCTTTGATTCAGATGATATCCTTTTATACAGGGTCCGAGACATAATATCTGTTCGAGCAGGTCTTAGAAAGGTTCCATGGGACGGATATCTGAAGTATTCTCGCCCAAGCCCTAAGCATAGAGAGCGAAAGTAAGAAAACTTTTCTATTTTCTCTTTCCTTGTTGTCATAACACATTATCTTTTGAGATCTTAAATGATAGCTGCAACCATGAGTTCATTTTCGGTAATTTAGTTGTCAATGCATCAGCAATTTACCATCTAAATAATTTATCTGCATGCTTGCAACTAGAGACAAGGGTCCCTGTAACCTACCCTTAAAATAGGATTTTCTAGTCCTCGACTTAACATAGGGGATCCGTTTTTGAGTAAAAAATTATGTTGATATATTGTTTATTTACGTTTGTCCTTAATTCATAAACATAGTTAAATTGGTTAGCAGCCATAAGTACTCTATACTGAAAATTCTTGACAGATTTTCTACATGAAGCAAGCTGTTCGTTATTTACGTTGATGCCTTTCGATATACGAATGGTATTTTGAATGGGTTATTGTTGCACTTTGCAGACAACAAAACTTTGCTGAATTTGTTCTTCGGCGACTGGAAGAAAAGTGATTGATATAATGTACATTTTGTTCGGTTAATGTAAGGATTGCTCTTTGATCTTTGGTCCTTCAAATTGTTGATAGGTCAAAGTTATTACAAAGTTTACTGTTTCCTTGTGGTGTAAGCATGAAGAATGTAACATTGGAACAAGATGATGTGTTTAAACGCTTTCGAACCTATGTTTCATAGATGTTGCAGCTAAGGATGGCAAAAGAACCCCTATCCGATGGGTTTCAACCCGATTCGATATGGTCGGATTTTTCTAAAATGAAATTTGAATTCGGGTTTTGTTGTTGTTGATACTAGAATTTTGTTAAAAAATGATTATTTTAATTTTATGTTAATTAATTGAATAGATTTTTTTTCTATTTTGACAAAAATGTAATAAAAAATCATGTTAAATCGGGTTGAGTTGAAGTTAGTTTTTTCCGATAAATATGTAATTAATTTTTATAAATAATTAACACATGAGAAATAAAACAACGGTATTTTTTTATTTTATTATAGGGTTATTTACCAAACGTACTTAAAAGTAGTGTTTGAATTCCAAATCAGTCCTCACTGATCATATCATTCTAATTTATTTCTCGTACTAGCATTATCATGTTTATCAAATATTTTCTTCAACCTAATAGTTAACTTGACCATAAACCAGATGTTCAAAAATATATTGTCAGTGTGTTTATACGTTTAGGATTCAATTAAAACATTTCAAAGTTTTAGGACCAACAAAAACCCAAACCCCAATTTACAGACCTTCAAGGCAATTAACCTCTTTTTTAGAAGCGGACGGCTCTAAGCTAAAAGGCTTAAAATACAGTGGGCCGATGAAAAGAAAGTCCCAATAAACAGTAGATTGAAATTGACTTATAGGATTCACTTCCGAAGTGGTTTTTGTTGTTGAAATTTGAAACTACCTCTCCGTAGTTTATCAATGGCGATGATTCGATGCACCGCTTTAGACGATTCTTTCTTGATTTTAGCTTCTTAAATTGACCTTAGCTTTCTCCACCGCTACTCACTCACTTCCTCTAGAAAAGGTAATTTTCTTTCCTTTTAATTTTTTTTTCTTACGTAATTTCTCTTCGTTTCCGCAATTTCATGTTTCCTCTGCCGCGTTTTTCTAGAGATCCAAACAGAAGAATTCTCTAGCTGATTTCTCTAGGCTCTGTGAAGAAAAATTCAGTTCCGTGATTGCATGTTGAAAACATATCGTAAAATTCAGTTATTTTCGCGGTTTGCTCTGTTTCGCTTCATTTCTCTTTGTTTAATTCTTAATTATTTTATAGATTTATGTTATTCAATGAGTTTTCATTTCTTTTTTATTTTTTGTTGCTTCCTCTTATCTTGCTTTGCTCAAATTTGGAAATTAAGAATTACTTGATTTTTATCTAATTTTCTCAATGTGATTTTCAGGTCTGGTAGATTATAAAACTGATAATTGTGCGGAATGGCACAGACAAGTTTCACAGGTTCCGCGATTTCAAGTGGACTGACACATAGAAAGAAGGAATGGAACAGGATAAATACGTATACGAGTTCTCATTCTTTGTTAAACCAGTATGAAATTTGTAGATTTAGGAAGGAATTAGGCTACAAAGATGGTCTGCGAAGCTGCCACCTATCTGCAATGCATAGAAATTCATTGTTGTCACCATTACTGACACATAGGAAATGCCATTCTCCAGCACTTCACAGTCAGGTAGGGTCTGATTTTGGTGTGGAAGATGCCGAGGAGAGACTCACGTTGAATGAACAAAAGGATACTGCCCGGATTAATTCAATTGCAACTGATAATGTTGATGTCCAGTAAGATTTTTGTGACACAATGTCTCATTATTTCATAGTTATGTTGTTAAAGTTTTGACGTAGTTCGGTTTGTGTAATGGTTATGAAAATCATATTGATTGGTTTCTGGAATATAACGTTTTCTTCCCCTTCTAGCATAATGGTAAAAGAGAACTTTAAAGGAATAGAGGAAGGGAAATAAGTCGACTTTGTAAAATCATGTATCATTCATGTTATCATTATGAAATGCAAGAATAGTTTCATTACCGCGGTGCTCATATATGCTTCCTTCCTTCATTGCCACATTCTTAATGGTTGGGCTCTAAAACTCCATTTTACCAATTCTTATATGCTAGTATGAACTTTGAATTTTCTCTATGCAGTGAGGTGACGGAAACTTCTACGGATGTGAAGAGGGAACTTATTATGCTTTCTCTGCCTGCGATTGCTGGACAGGCTATTGATCCGTTTGCACAACTGATGGAGACAGCATACATTGGAAGATATAGTATGAACTTAATTTTAAGTTTGTTCCATTGATTTAATCGCTAGAATAATTATATTTTCCTTCTTTTGGTTATTTGATGCGATCATGCCAACAACGTTTGTTTTTGGTAATAGACTAAATATTTAGCAGTTTCTTTTTTTGTGATTCCTTTATTAGTCTTTTGATTCAATCATAGTTTTCTGAAGGATATTCTTCTCTATAAGCATGGGTGTATTACTCGTATTCTCTGTTCCAAATTGCAACACACTACTTCAAAAAATAATTTTGTATGTTTAAGCTGATTTTGTGCAGTTCCATGTAATTTGAATTTTGAAAATTAATAAAATCTTCCTCTTGAGTGCACAGTTTCAATCTTCAAGTTCTGAATCCAATGATTTATTGCATTTATGGAGATATTTCATTGTTGTTTCGGTAGGTTCCGTGGCATTAGCCTCTGCAGGTGTTTCTGTATCGATTTTTAACGTGGTATCAAAGTTGTTCAATATTCCTCTCTTCAGTGTTGCGACTTCCTTTGTTGCTGAAGACATTTCTAGGAATGCTATTGAAAATTTGTCATCAGGTGAATTTTTAGAGATAGGTGCTGCATGCTGGTTTTTGGTGAATCTTGTCACTAGTTTATGTTACCTGACTTATGTAGATGACTGAACATTTTCACTTGATCTTTGACTATTTGAATTCTCATTTTGAAGCGGAGAGTACTAATGGAAAGCCTCTTGAAAGAAAACAATTATCATCAGTGTCAACTGCTTTACTTCTAGCAATTTTGATTGGCATCATTGAGGCATTGGCATTATCTCTTGGATCTGGATTGTTTCTTAAGTTGATGGGAGTACCCTCAGTAAGTTTAGGCTTATTGTAGATTTATTTTTCTTTGTGTTTTAGTCATCTTTCTCCTGGTCCTCCTTGCTAAAATACTGCTAGTTATTAATTTGGAAGCTTCTTGTCTTGTTTTTCTCCTCTTAACAGACATCAGATATGCATGTTCCAGCAAAACATTTTCTTTCGCTTAGAGCTCTTGGGGCTCCCGCTGTGGTAATCTCTTTGGCTCTTCAAGGAATTTTTCGTGGTTTCAAAGATACACAGACTCCTGTTTTCTGTTTAGGTAAGTGTTTGGAAGAGCTGTGCCTGGAATGAGCTATGTTTGTATTTACTATACTTTTTGTTGAACACATACCTTGCAATGTAATTTAGGTCTACGAACTTACTTTTTGTTGAACACGTACCTTAGAATGCATGACTGTAATTTATGTCTACAAACTTTCTTTACCATTTAGATGCAGAAGCAGCTAGCTGATGCATAGACTTTCAATGATCAGTAACATAAGTGTGTAGAAATCGTTTAAAATTTAAGTGATGATCTACAACCTGACACGAGGATGCAAAAATCTCCGTGTAATTCTTTTGAAATTAATCTTTTCCTCTTTTTTGGTCCTTCCCTTCTTTTTCATTCTCTGGGCGTTGTTGGAGTGTATATCAGGACCTAACACTTTGTTGATTTGTAACTACTCTTTTATCCATTGGAGTAGAACCACTTCTGGTCTATAATATTTTAAACTGATTATGGTCTATGTTTCTCTTGGTTCTTTAACTCTTCTGGTTGACTGAATCTTGTGTGTGCGTGTAGGGATTGCTTGCCCCCCCCCCCAAAAAAACACATCATTTATCATCTTTTAAGTGTTACTGTGAAGATTGAAGCACTGTTAGTGGTATAGAAGAAAGGGAGAATTTGATATGTCTAAAGCATGCAGTAGATCTTTGTTACCCTTTTTTTTCCAGTCATTAATGATAAATGTGTTAGGTTTCTCTTTTGTGATATCCCTCTTCTTTATTTGACTACTTAGTGTATTTGCTCCTAATGCAGGTGTTGGTAATGTATTATCCATATTCTTTTTCCCCATACTTATGTTTGGCTTTCGAATGGGTGTGACTGGGGCAGCTCTCTCTACTGTTTTATCTCAGTAAGCAAGTCGTTTTGGGCATTAATTTGCTTCTTCCCTTCAATGATTTGTTTCCATGGAAATGATACTACAATACAATATCTTCTTGTGTCAGGTACATTGTTGCCTTTCTGATGATTAGGCATTTAAACAAGAAAGTTTTATTATTGCCCCCAAAGATTGGGGAATTGCAATTTGGTGGCTACATAAAATCTGGTAATTTTTTTACTGGCTTCAAAAGACAAGGTTTGCTATGTGGAGAACAATCTCTTTATTATGATTGTATCCTTCCATTTTATAATCCTTGTTCTTTCTAGGATATCCAACGGCAACATTTTGTTCTTGGATGACTATATATTTTTACGTTATTTATTTTCTTACAGAAAATGGGGTTTTCAGGTGGTTTTCTTATTGGAAGAACTCTTTCAGTCCTAATAACAATGACACTGGGGACTTCTATGGCTGCTCGTCAAGGTTCAATGCCCATGGCTGCGCATCAGATATGCATGCAAGTATGGCTTGCTGTATCTCTTCTAACAGATGCGCTTGCAACATCTGGTCAGGTACAAAATTCCCGGGGGATATTTGTAACTTATTCGCATTTACTCATATTACCTGTTGACATTTTAACCAAACAATCATTTAGATCAGAGAGAGATCCCTTAAATGCAGATCCTTATGGTTACAAACAAGTGCTCACAGACTGTAAACCATTATTTTGCTTGTCTAGATTAGCGAGGAATAATGCCGCCCTTCTTTCTAACATTTTTCTTTTTGTAGGCATTGATTGCAAGTTACCTATCTAAAGGCGACCTACAAACTGTGAAGGAAGTTGCTAACTTTGTGTTGAAAGTAAGCTTTTACCAGGATTTTCCTCCAACTGTTATCATCAATTATTATGTTGATATCTGGCTTGTGATATTCCAATCACTAACTTGATGCACGTGGCTTTACAGATAGGGGTTGCCACTGGTGTTTCATTGGCTGCAATCCTAGGTGTATCATTTAGTTCTTTAGCGACCTTGTTCACGCAAGATGCTGAAGTTCTAGCGATTGTTAGAACCGGTGTGCTGGTAAGTATTCAAATTAACATCCAGTAAGCTTGTCCTTTTTTTTTGGCTTCTGCATTTATGATTGTCCTTTGATCTGTATTAACGATCTCTTATAAAAATTATTGTAGTTCGTCAGTGCTAGTCAACCTATAAATGCCTTAGCGTTTATATTTGATGGTCTCCATTATGGCGTCTCAGACTTTCCTTATGCAGCTGGTTCTATGGTACGCCACTTGAAAATTTCAGTGACTAATTTTAGATACAAAAAATAGATTGCTTCGTCTAACATGTTGGTTATGTGATCTCCAGATGTTGCTGAGTGCCGTCTCTTCCACATTTTTGCTCTTTGCCCCAAAGACTCTCGGTCTTCGAGGGGTTTGGTTGGGCTTAACTCTATTTATGGCTCTGCGGATGACAGCAGGATTTGTCAGGTAAAAGTTTTGAGAACGAATTTTATGTTTCGAGTTATGTTCCATTTTTCCAAGACCGAGACTAAAGACTTGAAAGTATTGCCATATACAATTTTTTGTGCCAATGTATACTAGTATTTATGCGTCTTTGATTTTATGTTTGTTTTTACAGAATACTATCTAAAACCGGGCCTTGGTGGTTCCTGCACAAGGACTTAGAGAGAGGTGAGCTTAGTGTATGTTCATAAAAACCTCAGTTCTGAGGTCATATCATTGTTCGAACTGCTTTTGTTGTGTTTTTTTATGCATAAACGGGAAAAGGTGGTCTTTTAATTGGATTCCTCTATATCAAATTTTCCTTCTGAAATTGCACCAGTAAAACTTTATAAATTCGTTTATGATATGAAAAATTAACTAAGACATGATACGAAATAAGTGCATTAGATCTTAAACACACCATGAACCCACGATTATGGACACGGTTTATTGAACACACCATATATGCAAAGCACCGATGCACTTTCTACGATAGTATCCTCCCGAGTATTCAAGTATTTGTCCCATTGTTTTTATATCTTTTTCCGTCTCGTTAATGTTTGGTAGCTTGAATGTCCCATCGAGAAGCTCTGCTATCCATCTGCATCTCATCTTTGAGGTAAAAAGAAATACTCACCGAGAATCCGAGTACAGCTAGTTGTGGCATCCTTACTCCCTGATCAGAACAATGCTCCGTTTATATCATGTTTCATAATCGTGTTTAAAGTGTTTTATATTACACCATGCATCGACAGGTTATTGCAGATAACTGACCCGTAGAGTGGAAGGGCTGCATCAGGGAACTAGATATGTACTTTTCGAAGGTTTGAGCATGAAAATGTATTTGAGCTTGTGTTCACTTTTGAATCCGGTGACCAAGATGAGTAGGTCTGCTTCCATTGGTGCAGTTTCACCTTCAACCAACACTCCATTTTTGCAGAAACCGAAGCTCGGGGCCTTTTTCAATTTGTTTTCTCCCTCTTCGACTTAGTTGTTGAAATTTTCCGGGACAGTTGAGGAGGCTGTGTTGGGGACCATGCCATGTTTTGCCTAACGAAGCTTCTGTTTTATATCACTTTCAACAAATTTTGAGTATGCATCTGTCAAAGAACAAGTGAGCACCCTTTAGAGAAATAGAAATATTTATTTATCCAAAAAATAAAATGTCATTGTTATTTGGATTCAAGGGTAAGTGAGTATCGGATACGAGTACATGTTCCGACACGAGTAGTTACCAATGATGCAAGAATTGTAGCCAGAAGCCCAAGGAGAAGCCCTTCACCAGGCATATGAACCATAAGCAATTTAGAAGCTAGGGTACATATGTGCGAGTGAAAATCCTTATGGAAGATAATCCAGGACATTCCTGTGAGCTAACTGAATAAAAGTGTGCCCCTACAAACCCCGTTGGCATTGAATGAAATTTATCATCTTAGATCTAGATAACAAATATTTGAATTGTCTCATTCATTTTCTAAAATATTCAAGTTTAAATAATTATATCTGTAAAGTGTTTATTAGTTGGTGGTTAAGAGAATTTTGGATAGATATTGTCTTATAATCATCTTATATTATTAAAAGAAATTTTAAAATTTAAATTATCTTATAATTATTTTATATTATTAAAAAAACTAAATAAAAGAAAACTGGAGGTATTTTAGATAAAGGTCGAGTTTAACATTCCTATTAATTACTTTATTATATTGCAATATAATTTTTAATAAAAATTATGACACTTGTTGTGTAATAGTTTACACAATATTGTTAATTTTAAAATCATTTGTTTTATTTTAAAGTTAATGATTTAGGGTTATAGGATTTACGTTTAAGGTTTATAAGTTATTTAAAATTTAGATTTCGTTATTAAATAAAGATAAGATTATATAAAGTAAAATTTAGACGGTCTATGTATGAAATAATATTCTTTTAAAATAAAAATATTCATTCTAATTTATTGTGTACTGTTGACATGGATTGTTGGGGAGAAGTATTTTTAAAAATCAATATCATCATTTTTTAACTTAATTATTTAAACTAATTAGTAATTAATGACATTATAAAAACAGGGTCAGTTAAACTAAAATACAGTGATTATTTTCAAATTTAAGTATATTAGAAAGGATTGAAACCATAATTTGACCTCTGATGAACATACCTAAAACATTTATTTTAAAAACTGAAAATAACATTTTATTTATTTTTAATTTGCTAATACAACTGACATAGATAAAGCATAACTCATTTCATTCATGCATGCATTTCATCTTCAAGCAAGGGCCTTAGCCCTTTCCCTTAAAACAGCCTTCTTCAACTTCCCCGTCGAAGTGAACGGCAGATTATCAAACACTATAGTCTTCGGCACCATATATTCCGGCATCTTTCCACGGCAGTACTCGATGATCTCGTCAGCACCGGTATCATCACACCCTTCCTTAAGCCTCACAAAGGCACAAACCGTCTCTCCCAACTCCTCATCCGGCTTCCCCACAACTCCGGCCTCGAAAACCGCCGGATGTGTAAACAGCACCGCCTCGACATCCACCGTGCCTATTTTCTTATCCCCAGAAATAATCAAATCTAGCTTCCGATCCTTAACTTCAATTTTCCCATCATGATGTCTCACTGAAATATCCCCTGTATGAAACCAACCTCCTTCGAATGCAGCTTTAGTCCTCTCCGGATCCTCATAGTAACCTTTTGTCACCGTGCTGCCTCTGAACATCACTTCACCTAAAGTGAACCCGTCGAACGGCACGCTTTCTATCGTCGCCGGATCTTTAACATAGACGGACTCCATCAACATGAGGTTCAGCCCATGAATAGCTTTGGTTCTCGCTTATTCTTGAAGGGGAAGAGAGTTGTATTCAGGCCTCCATGGATACATGGTTCCGTGCCCCAACATCTCCGACATCCGTACGAGTGAGTGAGAATAAACCCGCGCTCTTCGATCTTGAAAACCACATGTGCTGGCGGTGGAGCGCCGCCGGTCATTATGTTCACCTTAAACGGAAGTGGTTTTTAGTTCGCGTTGGCGAGTAAGCTAAGAACCGGTGTCGCACCGCCGAGGTTGGTTACATTGTATTTGACAATGGCGTCGAAAACAAACTTGGCGTCGTATGTACTAATGCAAATGTTGGTGCCACCGAGAGCGGCGGTCGCCCAAGCGAAACACCACCCGTTGCTGTGGTACATAGGGACGGTCCATAAAAAAAACCGGCATAGCTTTCATTTCATTGAGAATGATTTGAGCTAAGGTTGTCAAATAAGCTCCTCTATGACTGTGAACCATTCCTTTCGGATCCACTGTTGTTGGGATTGACCGAAGGCTTTCCATTTATCAAAAACTTGTCTTTTGTGTCTACTTTCAATTTGGAACCTTAAGAATTTTTTAGAATAAAACTTTAACATATCACATCAGTTTTTCTTAACCACAACCACAGTTATCAAATCGAATTAATAGTATAGTTTGCCCAAAAAAAAGCAAACAAAAAGACTTGAAAGTAGAAAAGTTATTGAACTTACAATATCACCATGGGAGACTTTCATCTGATTCAGTGCAGAGGCAAGTTTAGAGCATCTTTGGAAGGTTTGCTTCCATGTATACTGCAATGAACCATAAACAATGGACACTCGTCACCATACACCATTGAAGCTCTCTCCAAGAAGCTTATAGGAGAGAGGTACATAATTAGCTGAGCATGGAACCAATTGTTCCATATTTTCCAGACTCTTGATCTCCAACTATTGCTTCAGATGTTAATGAAGAATTTCAGGATATTCAGATGTTCATACAATGTATATATATATGTATGGGGACGATTCATGTGGCCCTTGGGGGGGATGGATTTAGCAGTGTCTATGGTAAGATATCAACTTATAAATTTATGGAATTTTTAACCTAGAATGTACATAATTGTTTTCCTTTAAATGACAAATGTAATTAAATTTTAAACCATAAATGACAAACAATTCTATCCACTAAAAAGTACCATTAAAAAACTACAAATTATTATGTCACCATATCTATTAATTTAATAAAATTAATATTTTTATATAATCAATATATATATATATCTTAATCTTATTAAGATGGTAAAAAAATTAATTAAACTCTTTTCATGTCATCATCGTTTACATGTGAACTATCACATTAACATTGTAGATTATCACTTCAACATAATGAACCGTCATATTAGCATCTAATTGTAGATTTTATCACATATAAAGCGTCACCAATTATTATGTTTACCTTAAACGGAATAAACTTTTGATTCGCGTTGGCAATTAAGCTAAGTACCGGTGTCACACTGCCGAGGTTGCTTACATTGTATGTGACAACAACGTCGAATATGAACTCGGCATCATATGTTCTAATGCATATGTGTGTCACTGATCAGTGGTGATTGACTAAGGGAAGCACCATCCTTTAATAGGGATATAGCTAGAATCAAACATAAGAGAATCAATAATTTATAAAATATTTAAATCATATGGAGAGAAATAATCAATTATATCAGTCGTTGATAATTTACCTCTTTTGATTTTGATGGAGAATCGTAATCAATGGTTTAATGACTATTGATCTATGGTTTTGATTAATTAAGGAATTTTTTTAGAGAATGAGTGAAGAAGTCCCAATAAAAGATTTTTTTATTTAACATAAGAATTTATATATTTACCTCTAATGCATGTTGATATCAGATCTATGATTATTTTAATAAAAAAAGTCTTGTCAAATATTTTAGGTTTGTCGATAGTCTTGTAAAGAGATAAGGAGATAAGAGTTAAATGAAATAGACATATTTGACTCCAAAAGTATCATTTGAATCCAAAGGTATACCAAATCTAAAAAGAAATAGGGACAAGATCTTATTTGATTAATATTTAAATTAACAATAAAAAAACAATGACTGTCAACCACACTCGAAACCGATATATGTTTCAGCGAGGATCTCTAAGGCTTCAATGGCGAGTTTAAGGTACTGACGATCAACAAACAACACTTTTGCTCCATGTAGTTTCAACTGTCCAGCTAATGCACACGAGTCCTGGTATGTCTAATGGCGAAACGACGGTGACCGCCATCGGAACAGTAAAGTAAAGATCGTATGGTATTTGTACCCAATGCTGCAACCTGTTCAAAAACGTCAAAATATTATTAAAAAAGTAAACAAAAAACTCAAACTCAAAACCAGTCGAGCTTACAATTTCGCCCTGGGACGTTGATTTCGTTGATAAGTTTGTTTCCATGTGTATCTCAATGAACCATAAAGAATGGAGACTCTAATGCTCAGTTTTTACCAATGTAATCTCCAATGTTTAAGATGTTAATGAAGAATTATATCATATGTTAATACAATCCATAACTGAGCAGATACCTTGGAACCTAGACCACAACTTAAAAGGTTGAATAATATACTTCATCCGCAGGCAAGCGATGTTCAGCCACTGCATACAAAGGTTTCGCCAAGAAAAAATTGTTTTTCGACTTGAATCGAATTTTAGACCCAATGGAACTCTCCTAAACTCATATCAGATCAAGTGCGCTAAAAGAGTTTATTTTACATATCAAATTCAAATGAACAATGTATCGATCAGACTCGACCCATGATCATCCCTAATTTCTAAAGCTCCACAGTCGCCGTACCTTGTTCACATGCATCATCTGCACAAAATTAACATAAAACACCAAACTTTTCTTTCTGTTTCGTTTTGGCCAGACATAAACACCTATACATGATGTGTATGTGTGGTATCACATATACAAAATTAGAGAGACATTATCTCATCTGATTGCCAATGTAGCTCAAATGAGTTATATGGGTGCATGAGGGCACATGCTGAGAATTGTATTTTCAATTAATAAAATATAATTTTATAAAAAAATAAACAAAAAATTTAAATTATATGTTAAATATATGAATCCATAAAAATTCAAATTCATTAATATTATGGATGGTCAAGGTTCAAACCAAGGGTTTATAAACACTCCATGTCAAAAACATATAATCTCTAAAATAGAAGGGGCACTTTGCAAAAATACAATTTTATCTTCCTTTACTTTCCAGCTACTCCTGTCTTTTTCTCTCATTCCCTAATATCTTAATTTAAATGTCAAATACAAACCAAAAATTTTGGTGGTTAAGAGATATATTATTATTCTTTTATGTTTTAAGTTTGAACATTATATATATAATAATATGTGTTTAAATCTTTTAGCAAATATATCTTATATTCATCTTATATTTATTAAAAAAATTAACAATAAATAATTACTAAATTTATGAACATTTTATATTATTTTGTAATATCTTAATATAGTATTAGTTAAATATTTGAAGGATAAATGATATATAAATATGAGAATGCATTAATATTTGAAGTGTAATTCTATATTAATATTCGAAGGTATTAATATTATAATATTTTAAATTAGAAATTATTACTATTTTTCAAAAATTGTCTGTCAATAAAATCGTACTATACCATCATTTGTTGTTGACTAATCAATATACGTTTGATTTTAATAAAAAAACGATATGTTAAGTTTTATTTTTGTTTAGTTTTATCCATAAATTTTTTATTCAATCCTAAATTAACCTCTATTTGTTTATACATTTTATAATTTAATCCTCTAGTTTTTAAAAAAAAATAAAATTCAGAATCAACTAATAGATTGTATTTATAAAATAAAAAAAATAAAAAGGTTAATTTAATATTAATAATCTTTTAAGAGATTAAACTAAATAAAAATAAATTTTAAAAGACCATTTCACTAAAATTTAGATGTATGTATATCAACGGGTCAAAATAATGTTAATGTGGTATGATCTTATTGGTCGACCGTGTTTTTAATAGATTGTAACAAAAGATAGATATTAAATTGGAAAAAATATTAAGGATAAAGTGTATTAAAACAGTCAAAAATTAGAGAAAATACATAAACTTGGAATAATTTGTTGAATAAATTGATCAAATAAATTTGAATATTCTAAATTTAAAAAATCTAAAATAATTCGAACTATAAAAATTACGATAATCATGAAGAAGCCGAATTTTAGTAGACAGTCGTAGTCAAATAAGTCACCCCACAAAACATTGAATCATTAAAATTGAAGGACTCTTTTGAAAATTTTATACTTTTTCTATTCCTTTACCTTTCCTCTACTTGTCGTCCATGGAACTTTCTGCAACTCCTTTTTGATGTATTTTTTTCTCCCATTCTCTCTCAAACCTCAAAACCCTAATTTGACCCTCGAAAACTCCCAAGATCTCCAATCTACGTCACCCCAAAAATGGCTACATCACGCAGATCCATCCCTCTCCTGAGAACCCTTATAGCTGGAAAAACCCAAACCCGTACCGTAACGTACATGCCCCGGCCGGGAGATGGTGCCCCGAGACCTGTGACCCTAATCCCAGGAGACGGGATCGGACCTCTGGTGACGAACGCTGTGGAGCAAGTGATGGAAGCGATGCACGCGCCGGTTTACTTCGAGAAGTACGAAGTCCACGGCGACATGAAGCGTGTACCGCCGGAAGTCATGGATTCGATAAGGAAGAACAAGATTTGTCTAAAAGGCGGCCTGAAAACGCCCATGGGAGGCGGAGTCAGTTCGTTGAATATGCAATTGAGAAAAGAACTGGATCTATACGCATCATTGGTCAACTGCTGTAACTTACCGGGTCTGCCCACCAGACACGAGAACGTGGATATTGTCGTGATTAGAGAGAACACTGAAGGTGAATATTCAGGTCTTGAACACGAAGTTGTGCCCGGCGTTGTGGAGAGCCTTAAGGTGAGTAAACCAAGTGGAATTGGATTGTTTTTATTATGGAAAATTGAAGATTTTCATGTTGTTAATTTTGTTTTTGTTTTAGGTTATAACCAAGTTTTGTTCGGAGCGGATTGCGAAATATGCCTTTGAATATGCTTATTTGAACAATCGAAAGAAGGTTACTGCTGTTCATAAGGCCAATATTATGAAGCTTGCTGATGGGTTGTTCTTGGAGTCTTGCCGTGAAGTAGCAACTAAATATCCGAGTATCAAGTATAATGAAATCATTGTGGACAATTGCTGTATGCAACTCGTTTCGAAACCGGAGCAATTCGATGTCATGGTATATATGAATTCCTTTGCTTGATATTCATTGAATGTTTTTGAATAATGATATTGGATATATGGTTGGCTAGTTAGGTGTTTTGATCTTCCCCTCTAGTATACATCTATGTTGTTTGGTTTGTCCCTGTGTCCGATGCATGTTTGAACACGAGTATAAAGATAGCCCTTGAAGGACCTTTAGAGTATGTAGAAAACCTTTGCAAAAATTGAACATACGGGTATCGAGTACAAGCATTGCTTCAACTGTGCTGCTTTGTTGCTTGAATGATCTTTCTGCACTAGCAACCTTACCCTCCTGTCTACTTGCTCGGTTTACTAATTGAAATTGAACTCTCAACTGGATTGATCGAAGGATATAGAATCGAGAGTGGGATAGAACTATAGATTGATTGCTTAAACTCTCAATTGTCTTATAGCTTATAGCAATTCACATACATACCAATGTAAGCAAACTTTTTTCCCTATATATGGCCTCCGTTGTTCCAACTTGTATATATGTCAATATAGTCAACTCTCCCAATCGAGTCTGAATAACATAGGTTAATATTGATATATGGTACTTGGAATATGATCCTTTGAAAGTTCTTTTTGATGGTGTGATTTACCATTCTTGTCATACATACAATGTCTTGAACTAGTTCAACGTGAAGATAGAGATAATCATAGAGACATCAAAATTTCTTGACTTTGAATCGGTGACTTACGGTTTTTGATATCTTTATTACCTATACCAACCACAAGTTGTATGCTGTGGAGAATGATATGCAATATGCTAGAAGAGATAATTGCCCTTGAGATTTATGTAATTTTCTTTTATGTTGCATAATCCTTTCTATGTTATTTATATGTTGGTTTTACTTTCGGTGTTTGTGTTTAGGTTACTCCTAATCTTTATGGAAATCTTGTTGCAAATACGGCTGCCGGTATAGCTGGAGGCACTGGTGTCATGCCCGGAGGTATCAATTACTCAACAATGTGTTCAGATTTGTATTAATGTGTCGTTTTCTGTTCTTCGCAATTTTTTGTTGTCATGGATGCAATACGGAATAGTGTGATAATGATGGCTTTCATTAAACAATTCTCTTAACTGTAGGCAACGTGGGAGCTGAATTCGCCGTGTTCGAGCAAGGTGCTTCTGCGGGAAACGTGGGGAAAGAAAAAATATTAGAGCAAAAGAAGGCAAATCCGGTGGCATTGCTTCTCTCATCTGCCATGATGTTGAGACATCTACAGTTCCCTTCTTTCGCCGATCGACTCGAAAGTGCAGTGAAACGTGTGATCTTGGAGGGCCAGTACCGGACCAAAGATCTCGGCGGCGATAGCACAACACAAGAAGTTGTCGATGCAGTCATTGGTAAGCTAGACTGATTTGGTTCTCAAAATGATTTGCTTATTCTCAACCAATGGGTTTTATCCCAGAACCATCTTAAATTTTTCCATATGTCATTCATGATATTAAATTTTCTCTTTATGCAAGTTAAGGTGGATTATAACACTATTACATTGGATGAAATAAACATCTGGGCTATTCAGACATTAATACGAGATATTATTTTTTTAAATATATTTTTGTCAAATACTATTATCTAAAATTTAACATATAATTAGTTTTTTTACTTTTATTGGGTTATTATTTAATATACAAGATTCATTATTTGAATTTTAAAATCTGAACTTTAAATTTCTAAATCTAAGCTCTAAATTCTAATATAAAATTTAAACATAAAAAAGAAGAAGATATCATTAAAATAAACAAATTTGTGTATTTCATACAGACTCTGTATCCATAATATTATATGTTTTTATTTATTTGTAAAGACAGTAATAATTAGATTAAAGGGTAATAAGATATTAAGCTAAAATTAAAAAGGTTAAGTTACATAAATGGTTTTTGAATTTTTAGAGTTTGTATTTTGAACATTGAATTTTTAATATTTATAATACAATCGTTAAACTTTTAATTCACTTTAATTAAGATAATTATTTTCAATTATTATTAAGAAAAGTCGATGTTGCATGTTAAAGTCTTGTCCCTTAATAGAATCCTAGGTTTTCAAACCTTGAATTAACAGCTGTCTCTTCTCCTTTCGTTGTCGTTTTTAGTTTTTTTTTTTATTATTATTGAAACAACTAAAGAGATATGTACGATTGTATTCTTTCTAACCAAAAAGGTATATTGATTAAGGGGGAAATAAGTCTTTTTAGTAAAGGATCTTTATTTATAGTAGTGTGCTTCTGCGTTGTAGAAAATTTATGTCGGAGATCTAACAATTAGAATATTCTCTTATCTTTTCCAAAATCTCTCACCCGTTCGTAGTATTCAACGATTATCCCACCTTTGCATACAAAAATAATATGTTTAAAGGATGAGAAAATAATCTAACTTATACGTGTCGTGGTTTTCATTATCGGACATCATTCAATTGACCAAGTTTATATCCTTTAACAATATAGTGCAATCGTCAAATAACATTGATTCCGTCAAAGTTCTAAGATTTTTAAGAAGACCTCATTAATCGATATTGACGTTTCTTTCCAAACTTCAAATCGTTCAAGGAGTATTTTGGGACCTAAAAAGGTAACACCTAATGTAAGGATCTCTAAATATGTTTCAAGTCTCATTTCGACTCGATCAAACTAATTTTCTTTATATAATTTATGAGCTTGTTACCTATGGATTGATATGGAAATCAGAAGAAGTTTTCTCTTCAACGATAGTACTTGTATAAAAAACACTTGAATATGTCACTTTTTATTTTTTAATGACGACAACGAAAGGAAATTAAAAGTTCATTGATTGTGTTATAAAATTTAAGAGTTTTCTGATTAAAATACAATTCTTATAAAGGTTCAGGGTCCATTTATGTAGTTTATCCTTAACAAGTATGGGTACAAATTTGTAAAACGTGGCCGGATATTATTGGTTTATATGACAAACCTGTTATAATATAATATAATAATAAATAAATAATTCAACAATATGGGCAGTACGGCCTCAAACACAAACCTGTTCTGTTAGAATCCCCAGTTTTCTCCAAATCTGAAGTCTCGATTCGAGAATCATCTTTGTTCTTACGATTCATTTTTTTCCTTCAAAAATTTCCCCCAATTCTTTAATTCCTTTTTCCAATTATTAAAAAAAATTCATCGCCCCCAATTTTCTAGGGTTTTTGATCGATCTGGGAAGGGGGAATATGGGTGCGGAAGGCGATTCCAGTGAGTCACGACTCGGTGGAAATGGAGGAGGAGAAGAAGAGGGAGTGGTGGTTAATATCCGATGCTCCAACGGTACGAAATTTACGGTGAGGACCAGCCTCGAATCCAGCGTTGGATCTTTCAAGGCTCTTCTGGCTCAGAATTGCGACATCGCAGCTGATCAGCAAAGATTGATTTATAAAGGTCGAATCTTGAAGGACGACCAAACCCTTCAAAGTTATGGTATGTTTAATCGCCTTCAGAAAAAAATGTTTTTCGCCCTTATAATTTCTGGCTATTTCCTATTTTGATTGAATTATAAGAAAACAATATAGAGAACGGTTAGATTTGTAAAATAAAAATGGTTCTGGTGACAAAATTTTGGAACTAGGAGGAAAATGCTTGATTTTCTTGTTATGCGTAATTAGGCTTTTAATTGGAACACGCTGATTTTGGTGATTTGGTATTGATTTTGTTGAGCTGGTTTAGATTGCTATATATTTGATTGTTTAACCTGCAGTTACGAAGATTGTGACATGATCATTCACTTTGAAATTGGAAGGCATTGATGCTAACACCACCCTTTAATCACTTGACTTTTTCACTATTGAAGGTTTGTTAGCTGATCATACCGTTCACATGGTTCGTGGTTTTGCCCCATCTTCATCTTCTCCTCCTGCTGCAGCTACTACAAACATTGCAGCTGATACTACTGCACCAGGGGTTACTCGAGGTATTGGTTCGACCGAGGGTGCTGGTCTGGGGCCTTCCTTATTATCTGGACTTAGTCCACTTGGAGGAGGTGGTGGGGATGGTGCTGGCGCTGGAGGTTTTGGTTTGTTTGGATCTGGACTTCCTGAATTTGAACAAGTTCAGCAGCAACTAACTCAAAATCCTAACATGATGAGGGAAATAATGAATACACCTGCTATACAAAGTTTGATGAATAACCCGGAGTTGATGCGCAGCTTGATTATGAACAATCCTCAAATGCGTGAAATTATTGATCGGAATCCAGAGCTTGGGCATATACTTAACGACCCTAGCATTCTTCGGCAGACATTAGAAGCTGCAAGAAACCCTGAACTCATGCGTGAAATGATGCGGAACACTGACAGGGCTATGAGTAATATTGAAGCCTCTCCTGAGGGATTTAACATGCTTAGGCGTATGTATGAAAATGTTCAGGAGCCATTTTTGAATGCTACAACTATGGGTGGAAATAATGGAAATAATCCAGGTTCTAACCCATTCGCTGCTCTGTTGGGCAATCAAGGTGGTTCTCAAGCTAGAAACTCAACTAATGATACATCTACAACCAATTCTGAAACCGCTCAGGGCCAAACTGCCCCAAACACAAATCCACTCCCTAATCCTTGGAGCAACACTGTTGGTGGGGGTAAGCAATTTTTACTTCATTAAAGCATTTCTGTCTAGCCATACTCATTTTTCAAGTGTGCATATTTTTCAATGCGCACATGCTGCAGAGATGAATGGTAGTTGAATTCCAAATGCTACTGATTGACAAGGAAAATTATGTCAGCATGATCCTGAAAGCTGATGGTCTGAGTACTTTTGATTAAGTTGACTTGATCAATGTTTAAAATAAAGCATTATTCAGAGTTGACTCAGTTGTTGGGTGAATGGTTTGATTGAATTTCATGTAATTATGGTTTGTTTCCCTTTTTTAATGTTGCATGCTTATGGACTATTATCTTTTGAATTTTGAAGTATGGATGACGGCTTCTTTCTTATTTAGATCACTTTGCACATAAAGCTAAATTGATTTGGCTTGCAACATTTTAGCACTTCACGAAATGTTGCCTTTACTAGTTTATGCTAAATTTGTTCAGTTGTGGGAGGAATGATTCATTTGAGACTTGTCTAATTGTAATTTGTTGTCCATGTTGAATGCTGCACGATTATTAATTACATTTACCTTTGTTTTGGGTTTTCCCAATATAAATGAGGGGTTCCTTCTTATCAGGAATAAAAAGATAAATTGATATGTCCTGCACCGTTTTACCATGTTTTCCGGATGAAAGGCAATTTTGAGTAAACTAGATCATATAAATATTTTGTTTTCTTTGAATGGAATTTTACTACTGTTGTATCTGTGTTTTAGATACTGATTTCCTGATGAGTTACTGTGTGCTGCAAATTGTCAGGGGGGACCCAGACCAACGCTAATGCAAGGCCAAATCCTGAAGTGGATGCCGGGACACCAGGTATTGGTGGTCTAGGAGGCCTTGGTATTCCAGATCTGCCTCCTATGTTGAATGGAATGCCAGATGCTTCTCAGTTGACTCAGTTATTGCAAAACCCAGCAATATCTCAGATGATGCAGAGCATAATGTCCAATCCCCAATATATGAATCAGGTATTTCGAGGAATCACTTCATTTGAGATTTTCATTTGCATCTTTTCATTTTGTTAACAATCTGTTTTTACTTTTTAGATTATGAATCTCAACCCCCAACTGCAAAGTATGTTTGATTTAAATCCTCAATTGAGAGAAATGATGCAAAACCCTGAAGTACTTCGTCAGATGTTTTCCCCTGAGACAATGCAGGTATGTTCTATATATAAGCTCACCATAGGTGATATGGCCTTCTATGCATGTTAAGGCTGCCTTGCTTTTTCTTTCAAGTACTGTTTTGTCAGTAAAGTCGGCTACGCTCATCTTTCCCTTTTTCTTTTCATTTCTCGCAGCAAATGCTAGCTTTACAACAGTCCCTCGTGTCTCTCAATCGACAGCAATCAACCCAGTAAGTGATAGTACCTGTGTCTGTTCTGTTGGTAACTAAAACTTCAATTGCCTTTTGCTACTCTTGCTTTCAAGGTTAACCTAAGACTTTCTTACAGGGATTCAGCACCAACCGGTGGTACTACAGGTACAGATAAACACAATTCCAAACTGTAGTTATCTCTCGAACTGTCTAGGGCTTTGTCTAGTTTGTTTTGCTATCTTTCCTTTATCTGCTCTGCTCCCATCCGTCTCCATGTTTTTACCCTTCATTTTGTTCGATCTCCTTTTCGGCAGCAACAGGAGCTGCTAATCTGGACTTGTTGATGAATATGTTTGGCGGGCTAGGAGCCGGTGGCTTGGGTGTCCCCAACCAACCCGATGGTTAGCATTCTTTTATCTTTATGAGGACTTTTATTAGAATTGTTACACTTATGGGTCTCTCTACTAATGTCATCTTCATTAATTTTCCAGTTCCCCCAGAAGAACTGTATGCCACACAACTATCCCAACTCCAAGAAATGGGTTTCTATGATACGCAAGAGAATATCAGAGCACTACGAGCTACTGCCGGAAACATCCATGCCGCGGTTGAGAGGCTTCTGGGAAATCCCGGGCAGTAATACCTTAATTTCATGCTCTTTTTTTTTTTTTTAAATGACCAAGAAACTCTCCAATGTAAGATTGGTTGATATTGGGTTGGTGCCCTAAGCAAACCACGATAATATTATACCCGATCACTTGGACCATTTTGTGCATCATTTCATATTTGGCACTTCCTTGTGTACATACACTTTGAATTATTCTTGTTTTTCTAATTTTTAACAACGCTTTTGTGAGTTTTACCCCCTTCGGTAAAAGTACCATTATCGCCTTCGGATTCGATATTATCCGATGAAAGTAATGTAATATAATATTATCAATAATGAATACTATTTGGGAATATTATATAATAAGTCATAGTTTGATTTAATTAAAATAAATTAAATTTCTAAATTAGATTGTTACCCGTATCACTGATATCGGGGGGGTTGGTAGATATTTTCTAAACTTTTTAAAATAAAATTCTAATTTGAGTGCTAAGCAGGACTAGAACACGAGACAACGGAGTGGCATGCACGCACCTGAACCATTCATTTGCTGTACATTTGGTTCTCTATTATATCACGTGTTATATATTTATTCTAGTTAATGACATAAGAACAATGAAGTTATTTTAAGTAGAGATTGAATATCCTACTACTTAACCAACAATTAGTTGGCCTAGTGAGATGAGATACTAGATTCTTTAAGCAATGTTAAGATTTGAATTTTGGCGTTTGTGAATGGAGCAAACTGGGTTGAGAGGATCGCCCTCGTCTCTGCAGTATATGATCTGATTAATCAGTCAATAGATTGAATATCAGTGATTAATTTAAAACGAAAATATCCTCCAACCCAGTTATGACATGTGTTACCATCTAATTAAAGATTAAAATTATTTTAATTGAACTAAATTATGACCAAATTGATAGAGTTTAGAAATATTAAGGACAAAATATATAATTATACCAAGTTTTTTTACTGCACCCTCCGTTAAAAGTTAACGACTAGTGGCTTGATTGGAATATTTAAATAGTTAGGTGATTTGATGATGAAATCAAAACATCAATAAACAAAATAAAAGGGAGAAATAGTTGAATGGTCACCCGTGGAGTTTACCCTAAATCTTAACACCGAGTAGCTTGAGAAAATACATGTTGATAAATGTTGAATTTCAAACAGCGGCTCTCTGTATACAATTGCTCCGTTAACTCCATCCTACACAAAGTTTGGCAACAGTATTTGGCAGCTGTCTTTGTCTTCTTCAAGGTCAATAAATTTATGGAAGGGATTGGTGTATATCCACTGGCCCTTCTTTTCACACGATACCATTTTCACGTAATATCTCAACCTATATCTAGTCGACACAAGATATTTCCAATTTAAATAAACGACATGATAGCTACTGGATAGTTCTATGGGGCATGAACTTGCCAATGTTAAAATGTTATCTCCAATTTTCGTTCATTTCATTGAAGCACACCATGGAATTCTCTATACAATTTCAACAACAACTCCATTTTGCGCTTTTTTCCACCATAATTATCACCATATTTGTGGCCACCATCCCTGTTAAAGGCAAGAAGAAACAGCAGAGGAGACCCCCCGAACCGCATGGGGCGTTACTGTTTCTCGGTCATCTTCTCGGAAAAAACCAACTGCTACATAGAACATTAGCAGACATGGCTGACAAGTACGGACCCACGTTCTTGATCCGTCTCGGGATTCATCGATCACTTGTGGTGAGCAACTGGGAAGTTGTAAAGGAATTTCTCACAACCAATGATAAGATCTTCCTCAATCGTCCAAAATCCTTAGCCATAAAACATATGGGGTACGACCATAACATGTTAGGCTTTGCTCCTTACGGACCGTATTGGCGCAGTATAAGGAAGCTAGCTACGGTTGAGCTCCTCTCGAATCGACGGCTCGAGTTACTCAAGCATGTTCCCGACACCGAAATCAATAGCTTTATAAAGGAATTATACGAGCTGTCGGTGAAAAACGGAGGTGTTGCGGTAGTGGAAATGAAGGAAAGAATTGGTGACTTAGCAACCAACATCATAGTGAGGATGGTTGCAGGAAAAAAAATATTATGGTACCGAAGGAAGCTGCAACGATGAATCAAGGCGATGCCAAAAGGCCTTGTGTGATTTCTTTTGTCTGGCAGGGTTGTTCTTGTTTTCCGATACGGTTCCTTTTCTCGGTTGGCTCGACGTAGTGACGGGAAACATAGTGAAAATAAAGCAGACAGCAAAGGAGTTGGATTTTGTAATTGGAAGCTGGCTAAACGAGCATCGCGAACGGAGGCACAACGGGGACCAAGATTTCATAGATGTCATGTTGTTTGTCATGGATGAAAGCAATGTTCCATTGAGGCTGGTGTTACCATTAAAGCAACTTGCCTGGTATGTTATTGTTAAGTAGAATCATGTAAGTTATAGGCATCATCAGAAAACAGATAACCTTATCAGACAATTGTGATTGCACAGTCTTCTCTTGGGTGGTATCGATACCAATGTGGTTACACTTACATGGGCAGTCTCCCTGCTATTGAATAACCGCAACGTGCTAAAGAAGGCCCGAGATGAACTCGACATCAATGTCGGGAAGAACGACAAGTGGAAGATTCAGACATAAGCAACTTGGTATACGTGCAAGCCATTATTAAAGAAACAATGCGATTATACCTGGCAGCGCCTCTATCGGTACCAAGAGAAGCTATGGAGGACTGCACAATAGCTGGTTTTCACGTTCCTGCAGGCACTCGACTTATGATTAACCTCTGGAAGTTGCAGCGTGACCCCAGCATTTGGCATAAGCCATTAGATTTCATGCCGGAGAGATTCCTCAGTGACCATGTTAACATAGATGTGAGGGGTGAAAATTTTGAGCTTATACCATTTGGTTGTGGTAGAAGGATTTGTCCTGGTATCACCTTTGCGCTTCGGTTCTAGCACTTAGCTCTGGCTCGACTGATTCATGGATTTGAATGGGGGACGGTCTCTGATGAAGCAGTCGATATGAGTGAAAGCATTGGAATAACCATTCCTAAAGCTACACCATTAGAGGTTACTCTTACCCCAAAGTTACCCTCCATGCTCCATAGGTAATTGGTGCAAAGATGCATAAGAATGCACGTGTGTGCCCAAAATTGCTGTTCGTATCCAGGGAATCTGGTAATTAATGAAAGGAAAAGCACTCAAGCATACTTCTTTTTGAAGAATAAATCATATATATTGCTTCTCAATTGAGTTCTATGCAAAGAATCTGTTTTTCCTACATCTAATTTTACAATTTGAAGAAGAAAAAAAATGGTTCATGAGATTGAGCTTGCCTCAATATCAGTAGATGACATCTCGGTGTTAACTAAACTATTTTCGGTTCGTTCCACTTAAGAATGTGTCTGCTGTACCTTAAAGCTTCATCAACAGAATCAGTCTCCAAGCAGGTAACCGTTGAAACGTACAAATTACGATCAGTAAGAGAATTGAACAATCTCTTGAACTTGGTAGCGATGTACTGGAAGGCACCCTGCGATAGCGAAGTGTGATTGTTTCTAATACAGCTGCAGTTGTTGTATTGATTATGGACGATAACTGGATTGAAGTCGTGGGACCATTCGCATCGAGTGAGAGGGATCTGCTCGATCTTTTCCTCGAGCAGGTCATCTTTTTTGAGTAATAGAAGGAAGTTCTTTTTCTCAAAGGTTGGATGGGTGACTATACTTTCAAACAACTGCTTGCTTGCCAACATTTTGTTTGTGAGAACTCCATTACTGTCTAATGAAAACTCATCATAGTCGGTCAACGAGACAGAAAATAAGACAAAATCGTCTTCTTCAAACATTTCCAACCATTTACATTTCTCCCCGAGGCTACTGTGATGCAGTCTAATAAGCTGGTACAGTGGTACCTGTTGATTCAAAGCAACAAATGCTAAGCATGATATATATATATATATATGAAACCGTCATATGATGCACCAATTAAGCTCCAAGGAATATAATGAACCGTACATGTTGAATGTCTATTCCGAGGAATTTATTGAACAATTTAAGGATAGGCTGTAACCCTGCTGATGGATTATGCTGAATAGAACCAGATCCATCAGCAATCTGCCTTTTTCTATCCTCCATTAATATTTCTTCTTCAAATTGTTCTCGCCCCTGAAGCAATATAGCAAGATAGCTGTACAAATTGCTTTGGATCATCGATTTGATACTTCGGCGTTCTTTTTCGGAGAAAGAATTATTATACTGGATCTTGGCCTGAAATAAGCAAGCAACAAAGGTTTCATTAGACAGCCTTTTCTGCACTTCCAGTGTCATAAAACCAAAGTTCAGTAGTCTAAACATCATGAAAAATAAAATCCAAATCATTATCGTAAGTAATGGTGTCTAGAAGCATAGACTAGGACTCATTTACAATCTAAACCACTAATTGCGTATTATGAATTTAAAAGGTTATTGTAATTGTTGGGAAATAACGAGTAACGAGTAATTTTTCTATAACAAGATTAGTGAGAATGTGAAATAAAAGCGGAAAAATAATACCCGAAATTGATAACGGAGTTCAACCAATTTCTTTACATCTCCGGACTGCTGCAGATCTTTTACTAAGAGAGAAAATTTACAGGTGTTTACAAAACACTCACTACTCACAAGAAAACTCTCTAGTATTGGGAGAAAGAAATGATTTTGGATATTTTGAAGCTAAATGAGCTAGGGTATTTATAGTTGAAGCTTAGGGACTAATCTTTGAAAATATCCTAAAGTTCAATGACTCAATTTTGTAATTATCTCTATTACAAAATAATAAAAAATTACCCGTTAGCAACCCCCTTTTTGACCATAATAAAAGCCGATAGCTGCTAATATTTCAACAATCTCCCACTTGAAGACTGCTTTTAATCTGTCTTCACACCTCGATCAATGCAACATCATTTCTGGTATTTTATTCTAGCATGCCAACTGAAGCTGAACACAACTTCAGTTTGTCCGTAGTCACCGTCTTTGTCAACATGTCTACCGGATTTTGAGCTCCATTAATCTTTTGAAGTTTCAAAATACCATCTTCCAGAATAAACCGGATAAAATAATATCGCAATTGTATGTGCTTCGTCATGGAATGAAAAGACAAATTCTTTGCTAGATGTATAACACTTT